TAAAGATACCATCAGTACCACACTGAGTACTCACCTCATCTTTGTATTGGGATGTCTCTGTTTTGATGCTTAGATACCCCTTCTCCCTTGCTCCCTACCATAATTTTAATTTTTAAAAAAGCAAACGAAAAAACTGTGGATGACAGTGTACACCGTTAACCCAAGCACAAAGGAGGCAGATGCAGGAGGATCTCTGTGAGTTCAAGGTCAGCCTGCTCTACTTAAAAAGCCAGAGCTACACAGAGAGACCATATCTTAAACAAATAAACAAAGCAAACAAAACAGCTACCTTCTCTTTGAAAAAGTGTGTGTGTGTGTGTGTGTGTGTGTGTGTGTGTGTTTTAAGAAACCTTTAATAGCAGCCAACAAGTACAATTCCTTTCTCTGTACAGGTTTTTAAGCGATTAAAAAAATAATCACATTATTTGCAGGGGTGAGGTTGGGAGATGCAATTGCTACAGAACACATAGTCAGAGGACAGTTTTGTGGGTCAGCTTTCTCCTTCCACCTTTAGGTTGGTTCTGGGGATCAAGCTGGGGTTGTCCAGCCTGTATCCTCATCCTCAGCATCTTTACCCAACAAACCACCTCACCAGCAATAGGTCTTTTTTTGTTTTTGTCTTGTTTTATTGTTTTGTTTTTCAAGACAGGATTTGACTGTGTAGCCCTGGCTATACTGAAACTCACTCTGTAGAGCAGGCTGGCCTCAAACTCACAGAGGTTCACCGGCCTCTGCCTCCTGAGCGCTGGGATCAAAAGCATGCACCACTACCACCTGGGTAGAAACACTCTTGTAGATGAATAATAAAAACCCAGAGACAGATATTTGGGTTAAAACTGAAAATCTGATAAGCAAAGCAGCCAGGCACAAGAGTTCTCACCTCTACCACCGCTCAGACTAAAGGAGTGATTCACCGAACCTCAGACTGCACTGAATTTCTGTCTGCTCCCACCTCATATTCCCCTCTAGTGCTAGGATTAAAGACATGGGGTCCCAAGTGCTAAAATCACCTTGTGTGAGCTCTGTTTCTCTTTTAGGATGGATCCATTTCATGTAGCTCAGGATGACCTTGAACTAACAGCGATCCATCTGCCTCTGTCTTCCAAGTGCTGAGATTAACGGTATGTGCCACCATTGTCTGTTCTCTATGGATGTGACTGGCTTTGCACTCTGATCTTCAGGAAGCTTTATTTGTTAGATCATAAACACACTCTTTAATGAAGATTCATAATGTGAACATCTGCTGAAATGAAAACTGCAGATTGTCGTGTCATCCCTGAGGTTTTAAGGTAACATTAGAGTTTGGGATGAAAGCTAATGATAACTGCTGTGGTCTAAATGCCCCCACCATCACTCATATTTAAAATGGAATCCCTATAGTTAGGAATTAAGAGGTGAACTCATTAAGAGAGGATTAGGTTGGGAGGGCTCTGCCCCTCCATCAATAGATTAATCCATTTGAAGATTAATGGATTAATGAGTCAATGGGTTATCTGTATGGAGGTCTAGTTTTAAGAGCAACTAGCTCTATGTATGCTTTCCACTGCCCATGTGATGCTGTTTACCATGTCTGGACTTTGCAGTGTGTCAACATCAGTCCCTGCTATACATGGATTCCCAGCCTTGAATTTCCAAGCCTCATTTCATATGTGGCACCCAGTCTCTGATACTCTGTTATTGTAACAAAAATTGGACTACATCAATAGCAAAGAAAATGTCTGGAAGATTATGAAGAATACTAATGTAAAATAAATGCTTGCCATGCCTGGGCACAGTGGTACACTCCTGTAAATCCAGCACATAGGAGATGGAAACAGGAGAAGCAGGAGTTCAAGGTCAACCCCAACTACACAAGTGTGACATAAGATCCTGACTTAGAAAAAAACAAAAGAAGACAAAATCCTTACTAGACATTTTCCTTCAACTCTTCTGTGAATAAAAATTAAACTTCTATTATTTCAGCTGCTATGCAAATATTTCTCCCGTGACACAGAATTGATATTGTTGAAAACCACACACTCAGCAAAATCATACATGAAAAAGAACACTTTTAGGAATATTAGGATTATAGTTTAACCACTAAAATTTTATGCAGTTTTGTAACTAGAGTGTTAACCACAACAGTAATTGGTAGCTTGAGAGATGCTTGGATGGTCCACATTGGCAGCACTGCCTGGTTGGAGTTTGCCTCAAGGCTATTAAAATGCTATTAAAATGATTGTATGAAGTTACAGGGATGTAATATAGATTATCATTGCTAAGACTAAGCATGGGGGTGGGAAAGGATGGTGAAGCCTATGAAGGATACCTTATGGTGACTCTCCTGATCCACACCTTCCATAAAACGCACACCAAATTACACACCACACATACGCCAGTGCACACAGAAAACTCTTAAGTCCTGTGATCATTCTAACGACCAGTATCTGTTTCCTGACTTTGACATTATACTATAGTCACACTGATTTCTATTGAGGAAGATGGATGCAGGGTAATGAAATCTATCTATACACTATTACTTTTGTTGTTTAGATATTCCCAGCAAATCTATAGTTATTCAAAATTGGAAGATAAAAAGAGTATCTGGGGGCACTAGGATGACAGCTCAGTCAGTATAGTGCTTACTTTGAAAGCATGTACCTAGATCAGTCCTCAGAATTTGTATAAAAAGCCACCCATGGTAGCACAGGCATAAAGCTCCAACCCTGGGGAGGCAGGGACAGGTGAAGATGTAGGACTTGCTAGGCAGCCAAGAGGCCCTCACCAAAAAACAGACAAACAAAACAAAACAACAGAGTATTATCTGGAGATTGACAGCCAAAATTGCCAGGCCACCTCCATGTGTGGTGTACACACACACACACACACACACACACACACACACTGGTTGAATAGAATTATGGCTGGGCGTGGAGCTCTAAACCAGAAGAATGGTATCTAAGCGACCAGAGGGCAGAGCAATGTGCCCTGGCTGGACCTGTAACCGACTTGTCTCAGAAGGAAGGTCCCAGAGGGTCATTGTTTGTGTTTTCTTAATGTATATCAGAAAGGGTTCCATCTATCAGCAAAATCGGAGGCTTTTTCTCTTGCTGCTGAAGATTACATATAATTCAACTCCCAGTATTCAAACCTGTCTTCTCTTAGAATACATTTACATTATGAATTTGGTTGTTTTCTTTGTTCAGGAGCTACCTGGTTGCTTAGGAAGACATTATTTGACTGTACAGGATTTTTTTAAAGGGTTTGGAAGGCAGGCTTACATCAGATGAATGCGCCTTCCCTGTGGAGTTGCTCTGGGAACTAGCTTCTGAAAATAGTTGACAGCCCATGTGTAAACAAAGAGAGATGACTGACCCAAGCATGGGTGCTGAGTGTGGAACCCCTCAACTCAGTCATCAAATCCATCAGCATATAGGGGTCACCATGAGATATTGTTTAAAATGCAGTTTACCTGAGTCTATTCCCAGAGTTTCTAAGTCTGAATGAGGCACAGGAACCTATAGTGTACTGGGAACCCTAGGGGATGTTGATGCTGTCTCTCTAAGAAATACTTTGAAAAGAACAGACTTAAATCCTCAACAAGGAAAACCCTGCCCCACTACCTTTTAAGTATTTAGCTGACTTCCTGCTGAAACAGTGCAATTTGGCTGAACAGTGAGCTGTGGAAGAGACAGCCCAGCGAGGCTTCAAAGACATGCCGAGCAAACTAAAAGCTTGATGACATTGCTTCCAAAGCTGGGGACTGACAGCAGCTGACAGTCATGCTGGTACCGGTGTCACCTTCGAAGACAAAGAACACTGGGTGTTTTGACTTATTTCAGCAGGCACAAAACGTTAGGAGAAAAACATTCCCCTAAGCTGCTTCCTCCTCTGAAGCAGCTCTATGGAATAACAATGTCGTGGACTCGTAAATCGGCTTTCCAGTCACTCACCTATCACAAGAGAGATCTTTAAACCATCTGCCCTTAGGCAAATTGTGAGGTTCATGAAATTTCTTCCATGTTGGAAAGTGTACTTTTGAAAAATACATTTCGAGTTCTTTATAGCTTAGAAACATCTCTCGATGTCAGGAGGAGTGGCGTTGATGTACGGAGGAGCATGAATGTGGCAAAAGCTCATTGGCAGGTGATAAAAACATCAAATAACGTTCCAAACCCATGTGGAACTGTGTTGCATTCAGATTTTTAAACAAGATTTACGTATTATGTATTATGTATACAGAATTCTGTCTGAATGTACGCCTGCACACCAGAAGAGGGCACCAGATCTCATTACAGATGGTTGGGAGCCACCCATGTGGTTGCTGGGAATTGAACTCAGGACCCTGGGAAGAGCAGCCAGTGCTCTTAATTGTTGAGCCATCTGTCCAGCCCCTGTATTTGGATTAAAAAAAAAACTTATACATCAGAATGGTACATATTTACAGGTACTGTGTCCTCTGGAAAACATTATATAACATCGGTATCAGGGTTAGTCTTTCTATGGCTTTATATATGGTGCCCTTGGAGAGAAGGCACAGCAGACAAAAACAGAAAGGATGCCTGATCTTAGCTGAAAGGAAAGGAAGCAATTGTGTTTGGGTTTAAAACTCCTAAGACCTGGGGTTAAAGAGATGGCTCCATGGTTAAGAGCTCTTGCTGTTCTTGCAGAGGACCAGGGAGTTCATTTCCAGCATCTACATGGAGGCTTACAACCAGTTTCAAGGGCAGGCAGGCAGTACACTTACACACACACACACACACACACACACACACACACACACACACACAGATATAGAGGCAAAGCACTCATACCCAGAAGATACATAATATAAAAAAATTAAGCATGGAATCTAGACAATGGTGCCTGAACACCTAATGAAGAACAGCTTTCATCCAAGAGAGTTTGAGGTCTGCCTGGTACAGTTTTAGAATTAGAATTTGGAATTTGAGTCTTAAGGACACCAATCCATTGTCTTTGGATATTCTAGATTAAGTACATTATCCAACGTGTAAATGATATTCAGTAACACCAAGACAAGTCAGGTCTCTCCTGGAATGTACTAACCAAAGGGGCATCTAGAATGAGATGGAAAAAGCAGGGAGTGTCATTAGGACCTCTTCCTTCTTTTTGCTTTGAAAATCCAGGGATTTGGTAGTTTTCAGATGTGAAGAGTTACCTTAAACTAGATGATAACAGAAAAAAAAAAAAACAGACTGTAGGAACCAACAGTCCCACAGCCACCTCCAAGCTGGAGATCGCCAACAGATAAAACCAGGTGCTAAGCATCTTGCTGTAATTAGACATTTGAATCTTCCAGAATTTAAGGCTAGTAAGGATGTCGTAACTACCGAAGGAGATCCTTTATTTGAATTAGTGCCTTCTACCCCTACAACAATTCAGCAAAAGGGAATTAATAACTGGAAGGGACCGCGGTCCTGATGGCTAGTCATTTTCTTCCCGGTTGCTATCACCCAGAGGAGAAGCAAGTAACAGTGCTGCAATAAATAAAGGAACGTGTGAGTTCCCCGCCTTAGCAGGTAAGTACGGTGAGGCTCAAAGCTGAAAAGGAGCTGGACCCGAACAGACCTTTACGTTGCTGTATGTGCTGGCAGGTGCCACGAGTTCCAGTTTATTTTGCATGCTGCTCTGTCTTTTTCTGCATTCAGAGTGGCCTCTAAGAGCTGCCATGCAGTACTCTTAGCAACCAGTAGGTGGCGAGTGTTTTTATACTACATGCTTCCCAATTTGCGGCTCCTTCCAAAGAACAGCACTCCCAAGAAAGTCAGGAGTTCTTCACGGTCAAGGGGAAACAATAAGGCAAACTGGCACCATCCTCGACAAACATATAATACTCAAAGTGAATACTGTTTCCAGGTGCGGTGGCACACACCCGCAATTCTAGCATCCAAGAAGTAGAAAGAGGAGGGTCAGAAGCATAAGTCATCCTCAGATACAGATGGGGAGTTCAAGGTCAGCCTGGGCTACGAACCATGTCTCAAAACCAAACACACGAAAAATGACTACTGTTGGTAGAGTGGTCCTCAAAATATGTTCACATGCTAATTCCCATCAATGTGATCTCACTTGGAAAAAATCTTTGAAGGTGTGGATTAAGTGTTTCAATTGAGATCACTCTGGGCAATGCAGTCATAGGCCAAAGGCTGCCTGAAGTCACCAAAACCGCAAGAGGCAATGGAACTTTCTCTCTTGGATCCTTCGTGGGAAAAGACAGATAGCCAGCTCCTTGACCTTGGGTCTCTGGCCTTCCAGAACTGAGAAGGGACAGTTTGTCTGCTGGGTTGTTTCAGTGTGTACACATATGTGTATGTGTGGGTATCTGCTATGTGTGGGTGGGTGCCCCAGAGGCCGGAGGGTGTTGGATTGACCAGAGCTGGAGCTGTAGGTGACTGTGAGCTGCTCCTCGTGGGTGTTGGGACCTGCACTCAGATGCCCTCGAAGAGCAACCAGCACTCTTGATACTGAGCCATCTCTACAGTCCCAAAGAATAGGTTTGTAACTTACCAAATTTGTGGCATTTTTTATAGCAGCCACTGGAAACTGATACATAATCTGTTAAGTAAAACTGAGTCAAAATAAGGCAAATTGTTTAATAAAATCACAAAGCTTCAAACTCAAGCACGTGCTTCCACCTGCTAGGACATGGACCTTTTATACATGTGCCATTTGAGCCGGCATTCATGTCGCTGAGAGGCAGTGTTCTACTGAAGACCTGTGTTTGATTTCCTCACAGATAATAAACCTTGTCTCCTTTCTAAGAACAAACCACTCCCATCCATCAGTCAGGAACAATGAGGTATTCCGTTGCCCATGACAATTTTTCTAAGCGCAGTATTAGAAGCAGAGCAGAATTACATAGAAATAGATGCGCATTGCAGTTGTCCCTGAATAAGCCATTCTTGTCTTATTTATGATGACCTTGCAGAAGCACTCCTCCAAGTACAGTCAGCAAACACTGTGCATCTAGCAGGTGTCCGGGACTCTACCAGGTGCTGAGAGGGCAAAGAGGAACCCGAGTTCTTGCAGTCCTGGGGCAGTTGTGGTTGACTGAGAGACATGAGTAGGACTCAGGTGGAGCGCGTGATGGAGGAGAAAGCACAAGTAGGAGGCACCTTCAGCCAGGCTGCAGGAGGAGGAGACTGGGGTGGAGTGCGGGATGTCTTGAAAGCTGGGCTAGCAGGATGCGGTCTGGGGTGTATTGTAGGGGAAGCGTCTGCTTGCAACATAGAGGTCTGGTGTGGCGTTAGTTACTGTCAACCTCATGAGATGTGGAATCACCTGGGAGATGAACTTCTGGACATGCCTATGGGGGGCGAGGCAGAGGTTATCTTGATTAGGTTAACTGAAACAAAATTTGCACACTGCCACTGCAGGTGGTACCATTCCCTGGGCTGTATACAAAGGAGAAGGCGAGCAGAGCACAAGCATTCATTGCTCTCTGTTTCTTGGCCATGAGTTTGCTGCCTCAAGTTCCCGCACCTGTGGCTTCTCCGCCATGATGGTCTGTGACCTCCAACTGTGAGCCAGAAGAGACTCTTATAGACTCCTTCCCCCCCCCCCCCCCGAGACAGGGTTTCTCTGTGAGAATAAACTCTTTAGTTGTGTTTGTGAGGGTGTTTTGTCACAGCAACAGGAACAGTAGTTAAGACATCTGGAAAGCAGCAAGAGGATGTCTGGATTGGAGAATTCCACTAGGGGAAGGCTGGGGAAGCCAACAGGGTCTGGAGGGTGAGGGGCCTGGGTAAGGAGCTTGAGTTTCTTCCTTAAACAAGAGGGAGCTAGAGAAGGCCTTCCTGCCAGTTACGGTGACATGGTCAAATTGCTTTGGGGGGAAGAGAATGTGTTGGTGTCTTCTAGATAAGAATGGGGCAGGAAGGCCTGGGGTGCAGCCGAGTGGTAGAGTGGATGCCCAACGTGTGCAAGGCCCTGAGGTCATCCCCGGTGCCTAAAAACAAACAAACAAACAAACAAATCAGAGAATGGGACAGGACTAGTCAGGAGAAGAGGAGAGGTCACTGCAGCCATCTCCAGGTGTCAGGAAAGAGGCACCAGCCAGGGCATGAGGGAGGCCTCGAGGATGTATTAAGGCCTGCTGATTCTTAGGCCTGGCTGAGAGCAAAGCAAGGAAAAGCAGAACTTGAGACTTCTCACCAGTTTTGAACTCCTGAAATATCAGCCCCAGCCTTCCTATCCATCCTCGTGCCAGCCCAGTCACTTGTATAAAGTAAGTCCTCAATTTATTAGCAGCGGAAGTAAATTTCCCAGGTTCCTGTCGTATACTGGGATTCTGGGTACTTTTCACATACTCCTGGGATACCCTTCACTTGCAAGTGTATCAAGGTGCTAGGAGGGATGACTGACAGCTCTCAGAGGGCCCTCCTGTTTTTCTTCATCTGCCCATGTAGAGGCTTCTTACTGGATTAATGGCCTGGTACATGAATCACAGTGACTGTCGGAGCAGAACGAAGTGCTGGCCGGAGGTTTGTTCCTGCTCTTTCCTGACTCCATCACATCCTGAGCCCCAGGCAAGGGGCAGCTACCGGGGAAGTACCACATCCCACCTGCCCTGCCCCGCCTGCTCTCTGGAAGGCATCTGTAGCATACATATTTATACTCAGTCTAACAGAAAAGCCACTGTTCATTTCTCTCTCCATACAGCCTCTAAAGAAGTCCTGATAGCTGTACTGATTGAAGCCTTTTTAAGTCATTTTTTGACTGAGTGGCTCAGCAAATGAAGCATTGTGTTTTCGGAGAGCTGGAGAGAGTTCACTAGCAGACTTGCTTCCTGAGGCCAGAGTGCCTCCTTGACAGGCTTTTACACAAAGAAGAGAAGGAAGGCAGGGACACAGGAGTGCCATCTACAGAGAGTCGACTTGAGACTGGGTCCCAAAGCCTGGCAGAGGAGGTGAGTTGAAATGGGTCTAGACATAATCAGGATTCAGCCAGTATTTTGGAGAGAGAGCACTCTTGGCACCCAGGGTTGGAGGATTTATCCTGAGGGTCTTGAGTGACATTTTTAGCCTCCCTGAGGCTTGACCACCAAGTCTTAGTTGGTGCAAACCACACCTCTCCACCCATGCATTTTCAAATACTCCTCGAGGACTGCACTTCACGGGATGTGAGTCACCAGCATACAGCAAAAGAGAATGTGAGAGATGACGTGACTGTGGAGCTCAAGACACCAAGGCGGGACCGGAGGTCAGCACACCACCAACAGCATGGCTATCCAGGTAGAGACAGGCACAGAGCATAGCATGTTCAAAGGACCCTAGAAGTCCAGGTGAAACGTCAAGTACAACTATGAGGTTAGGAAAGCATGTCCAAGTGTCGAACTTGGTCTACTTAGGAACCAAGTCTCAATCTCCAAGAGCTGGTCCTGTGTACACCAAGTGCCATCATGGAACTCAGAGGGCAGCCTGAGGATCTGTCTTAATATTAATTGGTGATCTTGCTTAGTAATGGGAAAGTGAAAAAAATGGACAGGAGGATGATTATGATTTGGGGGCATTTTCCAGGGATGCACAAGAAATTATCTTGATTGAACTGCTTATTCAATACCTACTATGTGACAAATTCGATTGACTTATTTAACTCAATGCTTACTAGCAGAGGCAGACATTTATACAACTCTCTAGCCTTGGGGTAGGCAAAATTTCTTGGCAAAAACACAAAAGCGCTAACTTTAAAAGAAAAAAGATTATAACCTAGACTCCACCAAAATTAGTACTCCTACACCAAGTGCTTTTACGAAAGTGCCCTAATTGAGGGGCTTGAGAAACGGCTCGAGAGTGCTTGCTGCTCTTTCCAGAAGACCTGAATTCAGTGCCCCGACACCTGTGTCAGGTGACTTGCAACCAGCTGCAATTACAGGGCATCTTTTCACACACACACACACACACACACACACACACACACACACACACACATGCACACACACACGCACACACACACTCCTACACAAATAATGAAATAAGCATTTACTTTAAAGAAAATAACTCGACACATTTACCTTTACCACTATTCTGCACTTCTACTCTAAAAAACACAACTAAGGAAATGAAAAGGAAGCCATTGTCTAGGAGAAAAATTTGTAACAAATACCCAACAAAGACTTGTTTGTACTCAGAATATGTAGAGACCTCCAATATGGCATTCAGAACGGGCAGCTGCAGAGGGAGAACTTGTCTACCATTCTGCGATTTGTTATCGTCTCCCGATTTATTCTCATGTTTATAGAAAAAGCGATAGATGAGTGTATGGGAAGAAGAAAAGCCTAGTGGGCATGATGGAGCATGCCAGCACTTGGCAGCAAGAGCAGGAAGATCATGAGTTCAAAGCCAACCTAGGCAATGTAGCCAGATCCTGTCTTAAAACAACAAGCACAACAAAACCTCCTCACAGCTCAGTGGTGTCAGTTGTATGTCACCGTCATTTGCTTCAGACAGAAAACCAGTTCACCTTGATCACTGTCCGTGTGTTTTCCACGCAGTCCATAGAATTGAAGCTTTCTTGAAATTTGTCTTCTTGAAAGTTAAATGAATGGAGTCATTACGGTTGCTACGCTGTCACCAATTAAAACTTCAAGAATAAAGAAAATGAAGTTTGAAAAATCTGGTGGTTTTGCTTGGTAGGCCTGCAATTGGATGTGATACATATCTAACTCAAGTTACATTCAAACTGTCAGAAATCATGGTTTTAGCTACCCAAAACAAGCTGGACTTTGCAAAATTTGTAAATATTTTTATACATGCACAGAATAGCCAAATCAAAAACTATTCCAACATTGGTAACATTGCATACAAAAGTATACTTCAGAGCCGGCAAGATGGTTCAGCAGGTAGAGCCACTTGCCACCAAAACTGATCACCTGAGTTTAATCTCACAAACCCACATGGAAGGAGAGAACCCATTCCTCTGACATCCACAGATTTGTACACACACACACACACACACACACACCAGAGCCAAAATCAAAATGAGAAGACAGAGACTTGGCTCACATCTGCATCTACATGGATCTTGACAGCCTCTCAAAAGTCCATGTATCAAATGCTTGGTCCCCAGCTATTGCAAAAGGTGCTAGAACTTGCTCTGGGGACAAGCTCAAGGCACAAGACTAAGAGTATTTATCAGACCAAAATTAACATAAAAGATTTAAGAAAGAAAAGAAACTGTTGGCAGAAATGAAGGAGGAGAATACTGAGAGAAAGAAGAGGCAGGAAGAAAGAGAGACAGAGAAGGAGAAAGAGCTCTGCTTGTGGGGAATGGGGTCATTCTTATAGCAGTTAAATGAAGCTACCTGTCATTGACCCCTGGGCTTTTTACTTGAATAGAGAAGATGTGGGCAGCTCCATATCTTGTCAGGCAGTAAATTTTATGACACCATTTGTCTTTCCAGAGACTGGCCATTTGGGTGAGGCACGAGGGACACTTGGAAGCTAGGCTTTAATTGATATTATAAGGCATCACAAGTCACTGGGTCAGGCTCGAGCAGTTAAGGTCTGGTTAAGGTCAGAGAGTGGATGGTTTTGCTTCTTACTTTTATTTTCTTCAGAACCTTTAAAATATGAAGCCCAGTAAAAAGTTTTAGGTCACTGGGAGAATGCTCTCAAAGGGGATTGTGGGATACCAGTCACTTTGTCTTTTTTGCTCTTTCTTGCTTCCCAGTCATATGTAACGGCGCCAGCTGATCATGGACTGGACCCATCAATACTATGAGCCACATGTTTGCTCTTGATAATTTACTTCAGGCACCTGTTACATAAACCTGACTAGAACATATTTTATCCCTGCCACTTTGGCTGTAGACAACTGTTGATCTGCTTTTTGTTATTACAAAGTTTTTATTTGCTTGTTTTGGACTTAATGTAACTTTGAGACAGGGTCTTATGTAGCCCAGGCAGCCCTCAAAGTCACTTCGTAGCTGAATGTCTTAGGGTTTTTATTTCTGTGAAGAGACACCATGACGATGGCAACACTTACAAGGAAAACATTTAATTGGGATGGTTTGCTTACATTTCAGAGGTTGAGTCCATTACCATCATGATGGGGAGCATGGCAGCAGTACAGACAGATGTGCTGGAGTAGTATCTGAGAGTCCCACATCTTGCAGGCAACAGAAAGTTGACCGAGACACTGAGCATTATCCTGAGGAAACCACAAAGCCTGTCCCCACAGTGACACACTTCCTCTAACAAGGGCATACCCTCTCCAACAAAGCCACACCTCCTACTAGTGCCACTCCCTATGAGATTATGGGGGCCATTTACATTCAAACCACCACAGTAAGGGTGAACTTCTCACTCTCCTGCCTCTATCTCGAAAACGCTGGGATTACAGGCATGCACCACTGTTGTGCGTTTTTGTTCCTTTGGTTTTTCAAAGGGCCCACCACTAGCTCCCAAATAAATCACACATTGAGGCTTATTCTTAGTTATGAAATGCCTGGCCTCAGCTTGGCTTGTTTCTAGCCAGATTTTCTTATCTTATGTCAAGCCATCTGGGCTTTTGTCTTTCTTACTTCTACATATCTTTCTTTCTTACTCCATGGGTGGCTGGGTGGGTGGCCCCTGACGTCCTCCTCTCTTTTTTCTTGTTGCTTCTCTTTTCTTTCTTCTTCCTTTCTCCTTCTATTTATCCTCTCTACCCGCCAGCTCCTCCTGTCCTTGCTCCTGCCTCACTATTGGACAGTTCATCTCTTTATTAGACCATTAGGTGTTTTAGACAGGCCAAGTAACACAGTTTCACAGAACTAAATAAATGCAGCATAAACAAAAGTCACACACGTTAAAATAATATTCTACCACACACCACCACACCCAGCTACTATAGTTTTACATATAAATGAATTTATATTGTATGGAGTTTTTTTGTGATTGACTTTTCTCTTAAAAACATACCTTGAAAGTCAAGACCATGATGGGGAAATCCACAGAATCTGGTGACCTGAGCTAGTGAGAGATCACTGATTCCATCTGACAAATGGGGAGTCTACATAAGACCGAACTAGACTCCCTTAATATAGGTGACAATGGTGTGACTGGGACAATATATGAGGCCACTGGCATTGGGTCCAAGGTCTAGCTCTAATGCACATTCTATATGGAGAGATACCTTGTTCAGCCCAGACACAGGGGTGTGTGGGGTGGGGAGGTGCCTTGGTCCAGCCTCAACTAGATGGTGGGACAGAATTAATAGACTTCCTAGGGGAGGCCTTACCCTCTCCAAGGAGCAGATGGGAGGTAGGGAGGAAGTGAGGTGAGGAGGAGGACAGGAGGGAGGGAAAACTGGGATTGGAATGTAAAAAATAAATTAATTTTAAAAAACATAATTTTGAGATGCATTGATTTTATCTATGTCAATACAGCATTTATTTATTTGTTTGTTTATTTATTTACTTATTTATTGCTGACATTTTATTTGCAGTTTTGCTGGTGGAATCTGGCTTTTTACTTGCTAGGCTCCTGCTCAGTCACTGAGCTGCTCTCTGGTTCTGATGGGGGGTTTTCTGTGGCATGAACCTATTACACTCTGTTTTCTCATTTAACAGTGATGAACTATTTTTTGTTTTGGGTTTTGGTTTTGGTTTTTTTGGGGGGTTGCTTCTTTTTTGGATTTTGGTCTTTTGAGACAGGGTTTGTCTGAGTAACCTTGGCTGTCCTGGAATTCACTATATAGACCATGCTGGCCTCAAACTCACAGAAATCTGCCTCCCAAGTGCTGGGATCAGATGTAAGCACCACCACTGCCCACTTAATGATGGAAATTTGGTTGTTCCCATTTGGGGCTGTTATAGTAAAGCTGCTATGCATGTATTCTTGTTTAGACATACGTTTTCATCTCCCTTGCTTAGATACCTGGAAGTAGAATTTCCAGATCGGATAGCAACAAATCTAATTTTAAAGGATAATGTCAAGGCTGGGGACATAGCTCAGCCTGTTAAGTAATAGAACTGAGCACATCTTGCTATCAATTACTGAGCACACAAAGTGCCAAAATAGTCAATAAAGAATGATTTGTAAATAGGGAAACTTGAACTTTGTCTTGGTGATGGAGCTCAGTAATACAGTGCTTACCTAAAATGCTCAAGGAATCATCCAAAAACAAAAATAAAATAAATAAGCCCAGACTTGCCCAATATAGGTGCAGGAAATACCAAACAAATGAACTGATGACTCTTTAACTGGTGTACTTGATAATGTTGCCGTCGTGTTATACTGCATGTCTCAACTTCAAAGGTGAATCAACCGTTGACTTAATCACCTGCTTTTAATTGAATAAATGTGTGTTATGAAATGGAATGAGTGAAATGGAGGAGGCATATAATTACATGAAATCATAAATGGAACAGAGACAGTTTTGCCTAGGAGATACTTGTTGGAAAACAGTATTCAGAATGAAGAAGAGGCCATTTGTGACAATGACTAGCTCAAATATTTCCACATCTTTCAGACAAATGCTAAAGATAGTGTCTTTGTACTGGTACCCTATGTACAAGAACAGCTGTAACAAAATATCATAGCCCAGATGGCTTTAACAACAGAAATATATTTCCTACAGTTCTCCAGGCTTGGGAGCCAAGGTCAAGGTGTCAGCCTGTTTAATATCCTCTCTCTTGGCTTATAGATAGATGTCTTATCCTCGTAGTCTCCAATGGTTCTCTATGAGAACACTTTGGGTCTATCTGAACTTCTTATAGAAGTGCTTGTCAGATTGGATGAGGTGTTGTTCTAATGAGTTAACACGTCTTTAAAAGTCTGTCTCCTGGGCTGGAGAGATGGTTCACAGTTAAGAATATTTACGAGCCAGGAATGGTGGTGTATATATCTTTAATCCACATACTCAAGAGGCAGAGACAGGCATATGCCTAGTTCCAGGCCAGCCTGGTCTACACAAAGAAAACAAACAAACAAAAACACATTTGCTGTTTTTCTAGAAGACTCATTGGGCAGTTCATAACTGCCTTAAACTCTAGCTTTTGGGGAGATTCATCTCCGCTTCCGATCTCTGCAGGCTCCTGCACACACGTGGCACACACACACACACACACACACACACACACACACACACACACACACACACGTAATCTATCTCCAAACAGACATAAATAAGTAAGTAGACAAATAAATAATCTATCCCCAAATAGAATCACAGTCTGAAGAAAGCTTGGGGCTAGGGGTGAGGCATTGAGCCTGTAACAATCCAATAGGCTTAGGAATCCCCTTAACTTTTACATAACACAGGACACCAGTGCAAGCATCTAGCTAGGTCAATCAGGATAGGAAGTAAACACTGTTGCCCTGCTATCTGGGATAACCTTTGTGCAATATGACTTCCCTGTGTCACGGATAGCCTACTAACAGGCTCCAAAGTCCATTTCTTGTGATTGATGATATTTCTGGATCCTTTCAAACCAGCGTTAAAGAGAGTTTGTTTTTTCTGTTCATAAAAAGTAATATATGTCCACTGCAGAAAAAAATCAAATATTTAGTGACATATAAAGAAGAAAACAGGTATCTTTGAAAGCACTACTCAATAAGTAATATCCTATTATAACCCTTTATACAGAACCATCAAAATGTTTTTCTATGCAAATATGTGTACCTTTAGAAGTAAACCATATGTGTCCAAACTATTAACATTGTAATACAATAATATCTAGAAAGTTCATGCATAAGAACTGCAAAAACAAACAACAGCAAAACAAAACATCAGTGTTTCAAATAAGCTTACAGTTTTATGTTGGGTCACGTTTACAGCTACCCTGGGGCTCATGTGCAATTATAGTAACTTTAGCCTTTGGAGTTATAAATGTTTTAGAGGTACAATGGAATGTTTTAATAAGTATTAAACATAGGAAAATAATTGTTACAATCAAGCAAATTAACATCATGTATCTCCTATGTCATACGTATTGCAGACATCTTTCCCTTTCTACAGATACTCTGTGTTAACCTGCGTGGTGCTGCTACAGCAAAACACCAGAGGCTGGGCACAGTGTAAAAGAAAGGACCTGGAGATCAAGAAACACTGACATGTATTTGATTCTGGTGAGGATCTCATGGAGGATAGCATCACAAAGCAGGGACACATGTAAGAAGATGGTTCCTAGGAAGATGTCAGGCTTGCTGTCAGTCCATCCTCTTAGTAACTGACCCAGTCCCCTGAGAAAGCATCATTCTCTTTCTTCTAGAAGGTGCAGCCCCCTGACTGACATACCCTCCACTTCGAGCATCTTCTAAAGATCTCACCACCTCCTCACTGCTACCCCAGAGGCCAGGGTCCAGCCTCAGGAGATTTTAGACAACAAACTGATGCACAGATAAGTCAGTGTGTATTAGCGTTCACCCTGGCCACCTCCACACTGACTGCAATGCTGCATTCCTTAGACTTGTGGCAATGCTCAAATTTCAGGATCAACTTTCAATTCCAAGAGTATAAGTAGCTTTAATTTAGAAGATGTCCAAGCCTTTGCCTCAATTCAAAGATTTTTCCCCCAGTGATTCATGGGATGTTTTCAGGAGGAGATTCCTTGTGTCCTATTGATCTGTTTCTGAAGACCTTGGGTGTTAGTCTCTGTTCATATGGGAATCACCTTACCTCTTCCACTGACTTCCCTCCAGGATGAAACTGAAGTCTGTCACCATGATCACTGTTCTCTTCTCTCACTTAGGACACTCAGGGACACATTTGCTCCCTCAGCTTCAAACAGAAACGTCCAAGCAACTCAGTGCAGCCTCCAGCACTGAGTAGACAGAAAGTGCAACATCACACATGCTTCCTCTGTCACTTCAAGTACAGGTTCATCTTCTGCAGCTCTACCAACCTACAGCCCCAAGCAGTATCGCCTCTCACCCTGACACTACTTGAGAGTTTCCAGGGCCAACGAAGGGAAATGAAGATGAGGAGGAGCAAGGCGTTCAAAGGAGCCAACAGGAGCAGCCATTTGCTACTTCTTCCCTCCAGATTGTTAGCAACAATGAGACGTAGCGCTGCCAGTCTGCTGCCAGCTGTCAATCACTGTCCTGCGCTAGCACTGGCTGGCTCAGCATCAGGTTTTTCCTTACTACTTTCATCTAGAGTGGATACCTTTTCCTGGAAATACGGCAAAAGTTCCAATATGGTATTTGTTTGTGTTTGTGTTTGTCTTATTCCTGAAGAATTTGTTAAGACAAACTGCTCGTAGGCATCCTGTCAGAACTAGAGATTGGTTTATCTGGGGACAAAATAGAGGAAATCAGGCCAGACAGGAGACAAGCAACCTAACCCTTCTAGATCAGTGGTTCTCAATCTGTGGGTCGCAACTCCTTTGGGGGTTGAACAACCCTTTCAAAGGGATCACCATCAGAAATCACGGATATTTATTGACATTATGATTCATAACAGCAAAATTGCAGCTATGAAGCAGCAATAAAATAATTTTGTTTTAAGGTCAAGGAACTGTATTAAAGAGGCTCAGCACTAGGAAGGTTGAGAGTCACTGTTATAGATATAGCCATATCTGAAGTCAGTGTGACCTAGACATTTTTGGCTGTTGGAATCAATCAATTCTCTTTTTATAGTCAAGAAGTTAAACTAAATTTCTGATATTGAAATCTAAGAGAGGCAATGTTCCCAATGACCTAACTCCTACCATGCCTCTCTCAAAGAGAATCACAATCACCTCCTCCTCCTTTTGTCCTTCTCCCACCCCCCTCTCTCTCTGTCTCTCTCTCTCCTTCCTGTAAGAAACTATGGTTAAGAAACAGAGAAAGAGAGAGAGAGAGAGAGAGAGAGAGAGAGAGAGAGAGAGAGAGAGAGAGAGAGAGAGAGAGAGAGAGAGAATCCCCTCCAAGCTTCCAGTACATGAAACTCCACTCTATAGACCAGGTCGATGACTGTAACCTTTCATATTTGTGCCTTCCTAGAAGATAAAGGACTTAACTACCAGTGCTAAATATTCACTTACTCTGTGACCCACATGTCATCTGCCCTTGAAACATTCCAAAATCAAAATAGCCGAGATGTGCCTTACACAGGAGAGGGGAAACACTTGCATAGAAGATTCAATCCAAAGAAATCAAATTAAACTCATTAGGGATCGGCCAATTCCCCTGGCCATAAGTCCTGAACCAATCAACCCTTCCACCCATACTCACACCCTGCAGAGTTCAGAAACAAGAGGCATCAGCAGCTAGGAGGGACAGAGAGACAACTGCGCACTGTCTCCTATTGCTCCACTAAAAAGATTTAGCACTAGACAGTCACCATGAAGTCTCATATGCCCAAAATTCATGACAGCCATAAAAAGCACCACCATATTTTCATGAACTATTAAAACAAACAGTTAAAAATAAAACCCATTTGGTATCCGATATCCTTTGCCTGATCGTATTTTTTATGTATATGTGGAGCAGCACAATTTGGATAACTGCAATCCATCTCCCTGTAACTGACTCAAATCTCCACATTCTCTCTGGCATCCTGGACTAATAAACTATGATTTCTTCAGCCACATCATCAATAAATTGCACAGATTTGTATCGTAATATGAAATGCGTTCTCCATCTCTCTTTGCTTTTTTCCCCCTGGCCTCTTGCTTACCTTATCCTTAGAGAAATTTCTACAAGGATGGAACACCATGAGCATAGGCTAAGTACCGAGAAAAAGTGTTAGCATTTACTAATACCTATTATGTGACCCCAAACCTAGTGTTAGTCATTTCACATATACTGACTCTAGTCTTCAAAGCAAGTGTTAATTGTTTTGGGTTTCTGATGGGAAAGCTCCAAAAGGAGAGAATTACCAACCCAAATTAAAATGCTGCCAGCAATTGTGGTAGGCTCTGTTTTCGGTGTGGACTGATGACATTTTTCCTTACTCCCTACAGGCTTCATGTTCTTCTCACTCAGAATGTTCAAAATACTGGTCTACTGTCTCAGACATCCTTGCTGCTGTGACCTGAGCTGATCACTCCACCCAACTAATGGGCTCACAGGGTAGGCATGCTGGGAATTTGGGAAATTATTTCTTCCATATCAAACAACAAAATAAAATGCATGGCCACAAGGAGAACCTCCCCACTCTCCTTTCTCTTGTTTTCAGATACAGTCATGTAATTACATACAGGAGCTGTGGTAGCTATCTTAAAACCGCAGGGGTATACGCCTAAGGGGAAAGGTCAGTATTCCACTAAACATGGTGAGAAGTGAATCTTAATGACACCTTTGATCCTCTCAGTTAACTGACCTCAGGACCCTCCCAGCTCAGGACTAATGCCTGGTGCCCTGTCTTAGTTTCATTCCTGCTGCTGTGATTAAAACATCCGGAGAAAAACAATGCAAGGGGGTGGGATTTACTTGGCTCAGGGTTCCAGGTTATGGCCGATTATCACAGGAAAGTTAGTTGGCGGGAACCGGAAGCGCTGACCATGTTAAGTCTGAAGTCAGAGAAGGGACAGATGAATGCTTGTTCGCTGGTGCTAATTCATAGCGGATCATCCCACCTCAATTAACCCAATTAAAAAAATATTCCTCACTGGCATGCCTACAGGCCAACCCAATCTAGACAATTCCTTGTTGAGGCGTCCTTCCCAAGTGTTTCTAGATTGTCAAGTTGACAGTTAAAGCATCACGCACTGTATTAATCCATTGTCTGCTGCTGTTACAAAATGGGAGAGGCTGACTTTCACAAAGGAAAGAGGTTTATTCATTTCACTGCTTTGGAGGGTGAGCGTCAAAATTTGAGTAGTCCACCTGTTCAGTCATTGAACACATAGCTGTGTTACAACACAGCAGATGACAACATAGAAGGAGTACATGCATGAGAGAGAGATCACATGGTGAAAAGGGAAGCCAGAGAGACTCAGAGCCCAGGCTATTTGTAACACTTGCTCTCTCAGGAGTTCACCTTACTAAGGACAAGGCCAATGCTCCCAATAGCCACATCATCTTCCACTTGTCGCCATATGTTCAAAGACCTGCCACTTCCCAACACTGTCACATTGGGAACAAGCTTCTAGCACACGAGCAAACCACATTCCAACCACAGCAATAACTTTCAAAAATCTGTCTTCCTAAAAGAGAAGGCAACAGTACCAAAGCTAAGAAAGTATACACACTCAAGAGAGATAAACTCTGTGTCCACTAGAGACATGTACAATGTCCAGGGCAGTTAAAAGCCAGAGACAACTCACAAGTCTATAAACATCCTCTCCTGGAGTGTGAATTTAGGCACAGAGCTTGCCTATGTAGACAAGAAAAGAATGTGTATGCAAATATAGTAATTGAAGAATTCATAACAATGAAAAACTGGACCCAGGCTCGTGATGCATATCTGAAATCCCAGAGCTCAGAAGCTGACTCAAGAGAATCAGCAGTTGGAGGTCGTTTTTGGCTACATAGAAGTTCAAGTACATCCTGGACTAAGTGAGACCCTGTGTAGTAGTTTTTATGTTCTCTTGTCATAAACTGTTAGAGCCATCATTATTTTACGTTATGAACGTTGTATCTGATTTTTGTTTCATTGTTTTATTTTTTAATATCTTATTTATTCTTTGAGGGGTTCATTGAAGTATACAATGTATCTTGACCATATTTACCATGAACTACTTCATGTCCTTTTAACCCACTGAGTCCATCTGAGTCCAATTAGTGTTGTCCGGGTGCACATGGGTATGGGGCTAGCCACTGGAACATTGACAACAGATACTGCCAGCAGACAAGCCCTCAAAGAAAAATGACCCTCCCCTTGCCAGGTCGTGGTGGCACCCACCCTTAATCCCAGCACTCGGGAGGCAGAGGCAAGCGGATCCCTATGAGTCTGAGGCCAGCCTGTTCTACAGAGCAAGTTGCAGGACAGCCTCTAAAGCTACAGAAAAACCCTGTCTCGAAAAACTAAAAAAAGAAAAGAACCCAAGTAGCCACCACTATCTTGGCTGGGTGGGGCCTCATGAGCCCCTGCCCTGCCCAGGCTAGAATGTTGACTTGCTTGATCTTGTGATGGTTTTATGAAGGTAGCAGCAGCTACTCCGAGTAAGAGCTGTGTCATGTCCAGTGGGCTGTTTCACAGCACCCCTCCCCATCCTTCAGCTCTTACATTCTTTCTGTCCTCTGTTCTGAGATGTTCCCTGAGCCTTCTAGGATGTGACAGAAATGTCTCTTTTAGAGATAATGCATTTCATCTCAGCACTTTTACCAGTTACGAATCTCTTCACTGACTACTGCCCACTGTAAAACAGGTTTCTCTGACCAAGGCTGAAACAGCACTAGTCTATGCATACAGACACACATAACAGCATGCCCATTTAGTAAACAACACTAATAAGGCCCTCTAGGGCCTACAACCTCCTTATTCATGTATTTTTGACAGTTTTTTTCAGTACCAAGCATGAATTCCCTACTGTTTAACTGGCCTCTAATCTAATTAGAAAGTGGTTGGTTACCCCCATAACCTTTATGACAATATTGCACCAGTGGGATCAACTTGTCCTACAGGTCAATATTGTAGCATTCAGGGTCCACTGCTGGGTAAGATGATTGATGATTTTTCTTCCCAAGTGGTCTGCCTAACACCATTCAGTACCAGCTGCCAAGCAAGGAGGAAGCTTCCCCATGTTAGTTTCAGCTTGATTTCTCTATGTTCTGCAACCCAAACATGTTGTGTCTTCAGTAATATGTGTTTGAATTTTGTTTTACAATGGACACATAATTTTATGGCAAATTTTAATCCGTTATAAACAGTTGGAATTGTATAAATATTAAGTATGGTTGCTTTTGAGTAACAGGATTTGAGAATTTCTTTCTTAGTATTAGTGGGTTTTGGGGGGAGGGGCATGTTGAAACAGGGTTTCTTTCGTAGACCTGTCTGTCGTGGAACTGGATGTAGAGACCAGGTTGGCCTCAAACTCAAATTGGTGCTTTTTGTTTTGTTTTGTTTTTTTGAGATGGGGTTCTCGGTATATCGTCTAGGCTAGTCCTGAACTCCTAGGCTAGTTCTTCCTCAGCCTCCTGTGGGGATACTGCTGGTCTTGAAATGTCCTCTTTAAGCTTCTCTGTGCTTTCTACTGTCCCCACGATAAGCACATGTTTCTTTTTATCTACATTTGCAGGTACACTTATTTCAAGGAGACAACGCTCTTAAAGACACTTTGTACCCTGGGACATACTCAATTATAAAAGCAATTTTATTACAACTGTAAAAGATATTAAACGCTGGTCATGCCATTTCTCAGTGGCAGAGGGCGGATCTGCTATCCACCAGCCAGAGCACTCAGCTCACACACCGCCAGCACCAGGAAGAGGGAGGGAAGAGCCGCAAACCACTACCACCCACACAGGGCAACTGTCATGCTTACATGGCAGAACTCCAGGTGCCAAGCTGGAAAAGCATTTCTTCAGGCTTCGCTTTTCAGCCCTGGCTGAGCTTCTGATTCCTGGAGGGAGTTTTACTCCTGAAAGCCCCACCCCAAAGGTTACAACTCAGTTGCCTCAGGTGAGACCCACTGGGTATTTTTTAAAGGCTTCTCAGCAAGTGCCAATACATCATTGTGGCAGAAAGTGAAACTTGGGTCGAGGCTGTGAACAAGAGCTCTGGGGTCAGCCACACATAAGAACTGCATAACGTCTCTGGGTTTAACTCTTTAACCAGGGAACACTGGTCTGTTTGTTTGTTTGTTTGTTTGTTTGTTTTTACATTCATCTCCTTGGATCTGCCTGAGTTCGTTTGCCCCTTCCTTCCTTCTCCTCCTCCTCTTTCCTCATCTACTCTTCCTTCCTCCTCCTTCTCTTCTTTTCCTTCTTCTTTTAAATAAAAAGAATGTCGCTGAGCATGGTGGCAAACACCTTTAATCCTAGTGCTTGGGAGGCAGAAGCAGGTGAATATGCATTCCAAACCAGTCTGGTCAGGCCAGCCAGAACTATAGAGGGAGAGACTCTGTCTTTAAAAAAGAAAGAAAGAAGAAAAGAAAGAGAAAGAATTGTAATGTCCAATGATATATTTACACTTTACAAAGAGTACTCAGGAGATAATGTCTTTGGATGGCTTCATTTAATTGAGATGATGGATGTAAACTGTGATCAGGTGTTATTGCCTAGACAGCTCTGGATAGTAAGCTAGACAGCATTCCAGTCATGTACCACATTGTGACATTTTCATCAGGAGAATCCCATGTACCATGGATGTCCTATAAGATTATATTGAAGCTGAAAATACCCTACCAAGTGAGTGGTTGTCATGTTAATGTCACATGTATCTGTGCTGATGTTGGAGCGAACAAACCTATTGCACTGCCAATCATATAAAAAAGCATAGCGCATATACTTGGTATGGCACATAACACTGCAAATGATTATTATGCTACTGGTTTGTGTTTCCTATTTATGTCATTAGTATTTCCAGGTATTCTCCCACCTTAAAAAAAGTTTAGTATAAAATAGCATGTCATGATATACTGACAACAGGATCTTGCATTGAGCCATGGACAGGCACTCTCTATGTAGACCAGGCCTACTTATGCTTGCTGCAGGCTGGGATTAAAGGTGTATGTGTGCCCCCATGCCTAGCTCCACCATGCCTGGCTATCTCATACATTTTTTTTGAGACAAGACTTCTCTGTGTAATGGCCATGACTGTCCTGGAACTGACTTTGTAGACCAGGCTGGGCTCAAACTCAGAAAGATCTGCCTGCCTTTGCTTCCTGAGTGCTGGGATTAAAGGGGTCCACCACACCTGGCTCCTATATCTTTTGATGGCATCATTTTTCCTGTGCTAATCAGTGACCGTATCCCTGACACTATGCCCAAATATTTCACAGAAACAACTCAGAGGAAGAAAGAGTTGATTTGTGATTTCAGAGATGGCTGTCCATCATGGGGAGGAATAAGTGACGAAGTCAAAGTGTCCATCTCCTGGCAGCCAAAAAGCAGAGAGAAAAAGGAAAACCAGGAAGGGTCAGGGTAAGGAATAGGCTTCACTGTCATGCCTTACTCTGAACGGGTCCATTCCTATCCAGACTGCCCCCCAGTAACACCATCATGTTATGACTCTATCAACCCTCTAACACATCAG